GGGCCTTCCAAAGGTCAAGATTACTTCTGCCTAGATAGAACTTCAGCCCACCCGCTATTGTGACCATGGAGATAAAGCATTGTAATTAATAGTAAGTGATCAGAGCAAAGGGGAGCGGTAGGGGGACTTCCTGGAAGATTTTATCGTATACTCAGGATGTATAAGAGAGCTATGTAATTCTTTTACAGTAGTATATTGGGGAGTCAAAGGGGGCTTGCCTCCCAGTAAGGCTGCCACAGTTTCTGGAGCAAAATCCTCTGTTGGGGGTGGGGAGGGGGGGGCGCACAGTAGCGGCCTTGCCAATGTACTGAACCCACCGAAAGCAAGGGGGCTCAGATAGATCCTGGGGCCGCGCTGGGTTGGACTCCTCCACCTGGGGGGTGATATCTCGCTTTCTGTCGCTCTGTCTCTCTTTGTCTTTCTGGCAAGTGCATGCACCCTATAGCAAAAACCTCTCCAAAAAAGGAAAAAAAAAAAAAGTATTACCAGCTTGGTCTGCTTTACTTATGATCTCTTCTTTTAATTATAGCTGGGGAAAGTGTAACCTCGTTGTCTGTTAGGGTCCAACATTTTAAGCGACCTAGATGAAAGGTTATGATAAAGGCATACTTAAAGTCATTATGTTGTCATAATTTGTCAAAATTCCAGTATGTCTTTGATAAGAGATTTGGTTCTCTATGTCCTGAAGGTACCAGAAAGAAGTGGCAGTTTTTGTCCTCAAGTTTCTATTTTTGCAGAGTAACTCTGATGGCAACAACCACTTTGAATAACATTGTGGGACATAGCCATGAACCACAGCCAGGTTAACTGAGAGTGGGAACTCGTAGCCACCTGTGGGAGTGTCACTCTTCTGACTGCAGGAGAGTGGTGTACACAGAGCCCAGCGCGGGGAAATCTCTGCTCGCCTGTCTGCCACTCCCTGGGAGTGCACTGCCCCGGTGGGTCCTAGTCCTCTCACACCTTCTGCTGCAGTGGGCTGCTTAGCAAAAGGCGGACAGGGCTGCTTTCTCAGCAAGGGGCACCGCTGGCTTCCAGGCACACAGATCTTCCTCGTGTGTGGGAGCCCAGCATGGCGGCACGATTGACACCCACGGCTTCCTGGCCCAGAATGCAGGAGCCATCCGAAATCATTGAGACAGGCGGAAAAGCCACTGCAGATCCCCACGTGCCTCTGGTTGTTCGTGGACAGGGCCTAGTGGACTTGCTTTTGGTAAACCAGACGGCAGGGGAAGACATTTCGTCCTGTCCCTTTCTCTCTTCCTTTTTTTTTTTTTTTTTGGTTTCTTTTGCTTGTAGTATGAGGAATGACAAAAATAGGAAAAAAGAGAAAGAGTCTTTAATGAAGTAAAGAAGATTGCTCATAAATTAATAATCCATGGGAAGGCTATGAGAAATTAGAAGAAAGACAGAAAACGGGGGGGTGGGAAGCTGAAGAAATGTCACTGCTACATTTGTCTGTGGTCTCTGATTTTCTCCAAGCCAAGGATAAGATTTCCTGTAAGAACACTCATGTGTTGTTGCATTATAGGGCATAGCTGATTGCAGAATCACTGTAAATAGATTTCACTGAGAATGTGGTTAGAATCGTAAAGCTTTAAATACATACTTTACAAGAGGAGAACTTGTTATAGGCAGATCTGTCTCGACTTTGCCTGGGAGGGGTTTTATTACTGGTCAACCCAAACCCTGATTTTGATTTTGAAATGCTGTCACTTACGTGGCTGTCCAGGAATGTAGACTGCAGGAGCAATTCTAGCTCCTGTACAGCAAGTTTTTCATTTTAATTTGTACAAAATGAAGCTCTCCTTGTGTACCAGTACCCTTTTCTAAAAATAGCGTACCCGGCTAGCATTGAGGAGTAGAACTTGAGCTTGCCACGACTGCCGAAAGTCATCTGCTGTGTGCTTTTAAACCTGCACTGACACTGTGGACCATTCATGCCATACTGAGGCTGGTTCTCTGCTTTATTTTTTCAGTTGTTCATGGTGGACAATGGAGCCGATGACTGGAGAATAGCCATGACTTACGAGCGTATTTTCTTCATCTGCTTGGAAATACTGGTGTGTGCTATTCACCCCATACCTGGGAATTACACGTTCACATGGACGGCCCGGCTTGCCTTCTCCTACGCCCCATCCACAACCACGGCTGATGTGGATATTATTTTATCTATACCAATGTTCTTAAGACTCTACCTGATCGCCAGAGTCATGCTTTTACACAGCAAACTTTTCACTGATGCCTCCTCTAGAAGCATTGGAGCACTTAACAAGATAAACTTCAATACGCGTTTTGTTATGAAGACCTTAATGACTATATGCCCAGGAACTGTGCTCTTGGTTTTTAGTATCTCATTATGGATAATTGCCGCATGGACTGTCCGGGCTTGTGAAAGGTAAGTGTGTTTCTTTTCCTGAGAACATAATTTGCCATATGGTGTCTTCGAGAGTGGGCGGAAGAACACGGTTTAGAGTTGAGAAGCAGAGTGCCTTACTCTTGAAAATTTTGGATTCTTCCACAGCCTTCTTCGAAATGACCGATAAAGCTTTTCTGACGATTTTTTTGCATAGAGCAAATGCCTTCATGATAGTATTTTTCTTTTGTAGTGGATTAGTTTTCAGGAGAGGGTTGCCTTTATCATCTGTGCCGAAGTTTGGAGATGGCTATTGGTCGTAAGTGTTGATTACGGCTGAGACAAAGCCAGAGGAAAAGCACTGACAGATGTCTGAACTTTAGACAATACCTTAAACTGGTTTATTGACTTTAGTGTCTATTTATGATGGTGTTCATACGATCACCTGATAAGGAGCTTCTGGATACACATATCATTGATAGTTTGATTGTGCTGTGAACACAAGTAAAGAGGCAGTGTGTGTTTTCCTTACCTAGTGAGCAGCGTTAGTCTAGAACTAGGCACATGTCTCAGGCTTCAGGAGCTGCCTGCGGAGTCCGCCATGATCAGTCAAAGCGTCACTAATGAGGGAACAAAAACAGCCTGATGACCTAAACAAGAAGAGCTATATTATCGCATGGCCTTGGTTAAAGAAAAGTCAAGTCAAAATTAGCGATAGAGAAATGATGTAAAAGTTCCCAGGAGAACTGAATGATCTAATGTTGGTCTTCATAGTAACAAGGCTTATTTACTTACATTTTTAAATTTAGGTTTTAAGAATCAGTTATATGTTCATATAGTTTAAAGAAGGAAAACATTGTATTTCAGTTGCTGCAAAGAAATGGCGAATCCACAGCCAGCCCCACCCCATTCCTGATTTCCAGAAATAATCGCTTCAAATTCTTTTAGCCATTCCTTCGATAATTGCTTTTTATGTTTCTAAATAAAATTGCTTACATTGCTATCTCTAGGCTCTTCTGTTTTTAGAGCTCTCTGTTGACTTCCTACTATTACACACACTACGCATACTTCTGCTACAACTTCACCCTTCTTGAAAAGGATTCCCATCCTCTGTCCTCCTCATAGGTTACATAAACCCTGTAATGTATATTCTAAGCTTACGTTGTTACGAAGATGTAAACAGTATTTGTAGTTGAATGTTACAGTATTATCATAGTCAGTTTTTCTTTCCTACACATCTTTTTTGTTTTCTGTGGACTTAGTCATCTTTAATTTGCTTTGTTTTCTTGCTTTTTGCTTTGCATAGTTTTTGAGTGCTTACTGTGTGCTAAATTTTCTCCATAGTCTCCTGTATTATATATGTGCCCTTTCACTTTGTTCCAAAATATTAGGCAATCTATCAATTTCATGCTGAAGAGTGACATTTGGAACATTCTAACCTGCTTCTCCTGCATGTTGGGGATTTTATTTATTTATTTATTTTGTCTTTTTTTGTGTATGAATACCCTCTTTCTTGACCCCTGTTTCTCCCTCTTTCTTCAGTTACTCCTGTATTTTGGCACAGTTCATTTTCTGGAAGATCCAAGAAAAGGCAGCCAGTGTAAAGGAGAGGTTACTGAGAGCTTGCCGACTGGCGATCTTTATTCCTCCCTCGTGCTTCCTTGGTAACCTGGCTGCATATAAAACTGGGTTAGAAATCACTTCCTTTCAGAATAGTGAAGGCTCCTTTTGTCTCTGGCATCTAGGTCCAGCAATATGATGCCATTCAGATTTTTTTTATCCTTTCTTGGTGTGTTTTCTGAAAGCTTTTAGGGTTAGTATTCTAAAATTGCACAAGGGCCTGTCTTGATGTGAATCTGTTTTAATTCCATGATACTGTGAATTCAGTGGGCCTATTAAATCTTAGAATTTATGCACTTTAGTTCTTCGACTTTTTTGAAGTGTTTATTGATTTTGATTCCTATTCGTGTGGGTGGATAATGGCCCTCTTATGTTCTCAAGTTTTCTTTCTCTGTTCTCTGTATGGAAGAAAACCTTAATTTTATATTTTAAACTTTTTACTGAGATTTTATTTCTTCTGTACTATATGTTAAATTCCAATAGATAATTTTTGATCCCTGAATTTATTTTTTTTAACATAAGCATCATGCTTTTCTTTCATAGATAACTTGTTTTATTTCTCTGGCGATGTTAATGATACTTTTGGAAATTTTTTCTCTTCCCTGTTTTGACTTGTCTTTCTAAAGATGCATTTTTCATTTGTTTTGGCTTCTCTGTTTTAGAAGATTTCATTTAGCGGGGATCAGGCTGCCTGCACCGGTGGAAGACTGAGGTGCCGAGGAGACCGTTGGGTCTTTCTGTACAGGTCTGGAACTTGCCACCTCTGGGCTTCCCCAAAGGGCAGCCTGGGTGAGGAGCACAGCACAGCAATTTCAGTATCTTCACATATTTCTGTCTCCTCGGACAATCTGACCGTGCATGGGAAGGCTTTCTTACTGCCCTGCCACCAAGGCAGGAGCCGGGTTTCAGCAATCCAGAGACAAAGGCAGGGGAGGACGGGCCTTCCTAGTTCCTGTGGAAACGCCCTGCTTTCCCGGGTCAGCTGTGGCCACCTGCTGTCCCCGGGGTCGCCCTGCTTTCCCGGGTCAGCTGTGGCCACCTGCTGTCCCCGGGGTCGGGACCCTGCAGTCAGACACAGTGTGTGTTCTTCCGCCTCGGGCCAGTCACGTCCAGACTGCCGCCGGCGTGGCCAGGCCGGGTTAGCCTCGCCCAGGGTGGCAGAGGGGCCTCGGGCCCGGCCTCGGCGACGGCGCGGCCTGCAGAGGCCCCTGCGCGGCCTGCCTGAGCCCTGGCGGAGCGGCCGCGGCGTCGCGGTGCGTGGGGCCAGTTTCTTCACTGATGGTCGCTGTGCAGAACCTGCTTTCCGGAGTCAGCTACGTCAGCGGCCCCGCCAGTCCGCCTCTTCACCGCTGTCTCCTGACTCTCCTTATCCTGTGGCTTTACTTTCGTCTATTTCTAAATGACTTAGGGTCATTTCAAGGGCAGTAAATAAAGGCACCGAGAACAGTGTGTTTGTCAAATCCCGTTTTTACCAGGCTGGTTTTAATATCTTTTTTTTTTTTTTGAGCTTCTTTATGTAAATATGATATGAGAAGGCTTAAAGTTTCCTTTTTAAAGAAAAGTAGACTACGTATGGTACTGCTTTGTTTCCCAGCAAGCCTGCATGGTATTTAGAGGTTTGTGTTATTTTCCTGAAGCAGGTGTACCTACAAAGTTTGAAGAATAAATATGGAAAACCTTAGTTGACATATATTTTATTAATTTTAGAATTTGCTATAGGGGTGCATGCACTCGACAGAGACGGAGAAAGAGAAAGCACCTCCCGGGGATGACCACGGCACTGTCCATTCTCTTCCATTCCAGTCTTGGGTGCGCGTGCGCACACACACACACACACACACACACACACGCAGATGTGCATAGCTGGTGTTTATCAAGTGACCAAGTCTGGGACGCGAACTCCATAGTCAGCCATGTGGATCCAGCCGCCCCAAACACCATGCTACCTGGCCCTTCCCTATTAAATTTGTAAAGATTAGCCTTAACTTAAACTCATACATAACATTATGACAGAGTGAAAGCTTAGTTTCAACACTATATACGTCTGTTATACATGGAGGGCTTCCAAAGGCCAGGAGAAATGGCTTCAAAATTGCTCACCTGCCATCTTCCATTTTCTCCAAGAAACAGCTCCCCTGAGCCGTCCTAAATTACCTCCTGTACAGACGGCCTCCGGCAGGCTGTGCCAAGTCTTAGTGGCCTGCAGTATGTGTTTTAAAATCAGCCAAAATGGAAGATTCTCTGTTGATGACAATGTGTATGGTAACATCTTTGGACTAATGTACAGTGTATTCATGCTGGGAAATTCATTTTGCAAGTCGTGAAGATTGCAATGATTGAATGTAAAAGATGAAAAATAACAAAATGAAAGAAAGAAAGAAAGAAAGGCCCAGATAGTTAGATGACATCCATTTCCATGTTCGTATAAAGAGGTAAGCAAGTGAAAGTTGTTTCATAGCAAGAATGAGGGTCTATAGCCAGTCGTTAAGTGAGGGGAACACATCTGTAGCCTGCCAGGGAGGGACGGAGGACGGACTGGATTGAGACACAGCATGTGGTCCCAGTTGTGCAATTTAGGGGGGTGACCTTGGGCCAACCATCTCGCTTCTTTTTCCCCTGAGTTATCTTACCTGAAAACTCAGTGGTTTGGTAGACTCTCTTCTTCCAAAGGTAACATTTTGTAATTATACCAATGTGTAACAGAAAAAAAAATTATTAACCAGCTCTGTGATAACTAGAAGACATTGCACTTTTGTTTTTTTCATTAAACTTCCCACTTTCCTGCACTAAAATCTCCATATTGTGCCTCGTAAGATACAAAGGTGAATATACTGATACCAGCATCTTATCCTTCTTTGGATTCTTTTCTTTTTGTTCTGAAGTTTGCAGGACTTTTTTTTTTCTCCCTTCTGTTTTTGCTCTGGGGCACATGTACCTGCTGAAGGCAGGCAAAGAGAAAGAGGGAAAGTGAGAAAGCTCTTGGCCACACCTCCATCCGTTCTCCTCTACTCTCTTCTCAGGATTTTAGGCACACATGCACGTGAGCCTGGTGTGTTTTTCAAGCCCCTGTGGCTGGAACTCTAACAGCGCAACTGAACCGTATGGATCCAGCTGCCTAACCCGTGCCACCAGCTGACCCAGGTTTGCAACACAGCTATCCCGTTGACTGGGTTTGGGATTTGCCTTGGAATGAACCTCAGCCAGTTCCATCTCTGGTTCATCTAGGCATCCTTTCTATAGTAGCAGGGAAGACACACCTGACGGAAATTCTCTTAGAAGTTAATTAGAAGTCTAAGAATAGTCCTGAAAGGAGACAGCTTGAAAGAGGCAGGCAGCTTCCTGGAGAAGTCCGTCTTGCAAACCTGTCCCAGTCATTCTATTAAACAACATTTTCAGTAGTTTCTAGAAGACATTCTCCATTA